AATAACACACACACACATATATATATATATATATATATATATATATATATATACACATAACTAATTAGTCTGTTTATATAGCAACTGTTAGGTTATTTTTTAATACATTACCTTAGTTGGATCAGGTTTAGACAAAGTTCCCTCTTGAATAGCTGCTGCATACAGAACAATAATATTGATGGCCATAGGGCCAACTAACCCTACCAAATCACCAACCATCTTCATCATCCCTCCTAGTGCCAAGGTCTTCCAAAATGTCAACCAATAGCACTTCCACAGAGACACTACCTTCCCAGCTTTTTCTGCGGCAAGCTACAAAAGAAAATAATACAAAAAAAATTGCCCCAAGAAAGAATTACAAATATCTATTTGTAATTAATTTTCTTACAAATGGTTGATCTTTTGAAAAGCTCTGTTAACTTTTGTTGCAAGATATGTTCACTTGTCATATCTCTAAATAATCTATTATTTACCACTGTATATTTCTCTGATACTTTCATAACTTATGCTTTTGTACATATACTCTATACTACTACTACTTGTTTTTACATATCTATAGTTTCTGCTCCATAAAAGGAAACTTTACTATATACAACTTACATGTAAATAATACTTACTTTAACACACTTCAAAATACTCGTTATACCTGATGCATTTTATTTCTAAGAATTAAAAATGGAATGAAAATGGGACTGTTTTAAAATTTTTCACATATTACAAATAATACAGGCTAGCTGTGGGGTGCAAATTCAAATCCCTGCCACCAGACATATTCATCTTGTATGGGTGCTGACTGGACTAGCCAGCCAGGTGTAAAATACTCTTAGCTTACAAAAATTACCAGCTGACCCCTAATTCACCGGGACTAAGGTCAAAATAAAAAAACAAACAAATAATACAAAAATGGATAGTTGAAACTTTATTATTCTCTTTATATTACAAGAGTAAGAAGAATGGGTAGTGCTGTATGAACACGTTAAGTACTTTGCTTAGATAACCCTGGTTTTCTATGTAGCGCATGTTGATATTAACTTCTGATCAAAGTAAGTTACTCATATCAATCAGAACTACAAAAAGCAATCAAGTAATAACTACAGATAAGTTAATACACAGTTCTTATTTATAACAATTAGAATACATTGTTTTATCAATTTGGTACCCTCATTTTCAGCAACATTTTTGGCCACATAACACGAACGTATGAAGAACGTGAGGTATGTTATGAGCATACTTGGTCACTGTGTCATATGCTAAATTTTTTAACCACAACTGCTCCGTAACACAAAACAATAACATTCCATAAAAGAAATTTAAGACAGCTTACATTACAAGTTAAGCAAGTATAAGTAAGTGCTGGATAAAACTTTTACAAGTTAAGCAAGTATAAGTAAGTTCTTGATAAAACTTTTACAAGTTAAGCAAGTATAAGTAAGTGCTGGATAAAACTTTTATAAGTTAAGCATGTATAATTAAGTGCTGGATAAAACTTTTACATTACAAGTTAAGCAAGTATAAGTAAGTGCTCACAAAAACCTCTTACCTTTTCTTTGAAATAGATATGATAAAACCTCTTAAACTGGTTCTCGGCTTGATCCGCCTGAAGAAGACATGGAGGATACCAGTAAACATTACATTCAAATACACTGTATTTTCACCACAAGATATGCAAGTTTCAGAGTTAGACATTTCATGTTTTTATGTCAGTCATAAGTAGAAATTTTACTTATCACTGATCAGGAGGACAAAAAAAAAAGGTCAGTTTAAACTTATGTTGGTTTGATTATAACTTTCATGAAGCAATTTTAATTTTAATAATATTTCATAAGGAGTACTGAGGTGTAATTAAAACTGCATTCTTTTAACATTCACAGATGATTCATAAACAATTAGAACTATAATAATAGCCCACTTTCAAAGAAGTTCTAACACTTTTTTGTAGTGATAATTAGGTTTGAATTATTTAGTACTGAAGATGATATTTATCCTAGTGATCATGCTCTATCTGCTTCTTAATAATGGTCCAACAAACTTTATCTTATTTGGCTAATGTTCTAAGATCTATGAATTTCAATCACAAGCTTAAGCAAACGAAATGCACAAAAAATCATTGTAGCTGCATTTTGGGAATGTAGTTCAATGAACTTGCTACGACTCAACTTCTTCAACCATCTTTCTCATGAAGGCAGCCATTGATTTGGATTTATGTAAAGATGCTTGTGAACCATCATCAACTAAAACGCCTTGTTTATTATTTTATCAATGGTACAAAAAAAAAGGTATATCCACATTTTTTGCATTAGACTTTTGGGTTGGAGAGTTTTCTTTCATGACCATAGTCTTCACTTGTGCAAAGGCACTGTTCCTGATTGACTTGGTGTATGATTTCTGAGTTTGTGACTATCTCAAAGGCTGTGGTGTGTTTTATCACTTCCACAGAAGACACTGAAGAACCACTTCTTTAAAATTATGTGTTCTTGGCTCTATATAGTTGAAAACAATCTCACTACATTTATATGCTTTGTTGAACAAAGCAATTACATACTGTTCTAGACATCAAAGTTTGGAGGCATTTTACACTTAACTTTTACATAAGTTTGATACCTCTCAAAACTTCTAAAAATATTGTCTTTTGGCTTATGTCATTTTACAATGTATTAAAGTAATGAACTAAATTATTTTTCAGAAAAATAAAGGAGAAGAACGGTCAACTATTCAAGTTCTTGAGTTAAGATTTGAAATAAGTCAAATTTTGATTACAAAACTACAGGAGAATAAAGGAGAAGAATGGTCAACTATTCAAAAGTTCTTGAGTTAAGATTTGAAATAAGTCAGATTTTGATTACACAACTACAGGAGAATAAAGGAGAAGAATGGTCAACTATTCAAAAGTTCTTGAGTTAAGATTTGAAATAAGTCAAATTTTGATTACACAACTACAGGAGAATAAAGGAGAAGAACAGTCAACTATTCAAAAGTTCTTGAGTTAAAGTTTGAAATAAGTCAAATTTTGTTTACACAACTAGAGAAGAATAGTTAACTATTTGAAAGTTCTTGAGTTAAGGGTGTTTTATGAAGTTTATTTCATTTTTCTGTGTGATCATGTGTGCTAACTCTTTTATCAGAATTGATATTCCATGTTATAGTGCTATACTCTAAAAACAAGTCAAAATTTCGATTACACAACTACACGAGCCTACTAGGCAGTTGAGAAAAAGTTTTTAGGTTTAGGGTATTTTAAGTTTCACTCCATGAAACACAACTTATACAATCTTCTAGTTGCATTTGTTGATCTAAATCATAATTCTGATTAGTATCCGAATCTACAAACAGAACCTTACTTTGCATTTTCATTAATTATCTCGGACATAAATTACATAACCTAACATCTTCCTGGGATTTCTGAGAGACCAACATTAACTGTTTGTCGTAGAAAAGTTTCTGCTTAATACAAATACACAACTAATAAACCTTCGTAACTTGTGTTAAAGAACAAAGTAATAGCTTTTAGAACTTTTAACAAACAATTATTTACTGATAACAAAATGCTATGCAAAACATTAACAGAAATAGGAAGTCTACAATAATATGTTTTAGGTTGATCAAAGACAGTCATTTTGTTGTTATCTTGCACCTGTCTTCAAAAACTCAGTATTTCATCCTTCGTAAAATACATGTACCTCTGGGATAAAATACTAACAACAGATTTAAAAATGATGCTGGATCTAAACTTATATTACATGATCTGTCTAAACTCATTTTCTGGGATCAGTCTCAAATCAAAATCGAAGACACAATTTAAAGTATCCCAGCCATGTTTCTCAAAAATCTATAAGACGTTTCATGTTGACATTCTACATTCAGAGTTATCACAGTGTAGATCTTACATTTGGGCTTTGAAATTTTCTTTGCATGTTTATACAGAAGTAATAAAAAACTTGTATGTAGAGATACCGAGTAATTAATTTTGGATCAAAATAGCAACTTACTCATCCTGCTATCTTCAGGATAAATGACTAATATTTCTTAACTTTCTTTAAAATTTTGTTTGAATTTTTTTAAACCTTACTTTTGTTGATTCTCACAAGTCAAAGCAAGCATTTCAAATCTTCGGAAACCAACTAGTATAATATTTTTTTAAAGAATAATGGAACAATTCTGCCAAAAGTAAGAAGCTTTTTTTTTCTACTAGGAGTATCCTCTCTACTCCAGAATGTGGATTTCTTTCTCTGAGAATATTAATACTTCTGGCAATGAACAGATAAAAATATTCTACATCATACAAGTAATGGTAGTACTTAATTAGTCATGACCACTAGTTATAATGTACAAATGTAAAAGGCATTTAAGTTTTATATCTTACTCTTAATCTGCTAATTATATTAAGTATTCACTTTTTATTTCATCTGAAGTAAAAAATAAAACGAATATTCTCAATACAATTACATCTAATTTTCACTCTTTACAAGTAACAACAACAAAAACAAACTGATGAAAAACAAAACTGAAACACAGAACAAATACCCCTGCTTTATAAGTCCTAAAACAACTGCTGACTGTTAGTTCATTAAAGTCTATAACATTAAGCCTTATTTTAATATCCCTGTTGGAAAACTTGTTTGTTTCATTTACTTACTTCAGGCAAGTCCCCCAAATCTTCCATTTCCAGAGGGTTTTTCCTTCCGTCACGTAAAAGTGGAAGTAACCAAGAAAAGGTTGCTTTAGAGAACAATGTGGTGAAATGATGTATGTATTTCAGTCTGGTCACATCATGTTTTACTGATACGTCTTCTTCAGCTTTGGGCCATAAATATTTCTAATCGGACAAAAAACAAAACAAAACTTAGCATCAAGGGGGATATAGTCAACATTTATAGTATAGTTTATTTAGAAACATTTCATTTTTATTTTAATAAACACTTCATTTCTTTTAAAAGAAAGAAAGAAACCTAAATATTAGTACCAAAGTTGAGTAAACCAACTTGAATTGCTATTTCTTTCTCAATAAAGTTATTTAAAGAACAAAAAAGTGCTAAACAAAATATTAAAGTTAATAATAACTGAAATCACATCATTCTTTACTGGTCAACAATATAAATTCTTGGTATCAGATTTCCTCCTCCCTTTATTGAGGGTACAAATCAAACAAACAGTTTCACAGTTGTGACATGTTCAACAAGAAGACATTCTATAATACAGCTTCAGCCACACTGGGTTAGAAAATACAAATTTAAGTTCAAATGTTATTAATATCAGTTGTATGAGATGACAAATCTTAGGTTGTAGAACATCTTAGCTAGTTGAACAAGACAATTGGCAGTAATGCATGTAGAGCTAGGAAATTAGTGGAAGTTTATAATCAATTAACCCTATATGCATGGGTAGGGGTCGAGGTGAACATGCCATGACCTTTTACAGAGTACCATTCAACATGTTACTATGTATTTGATGTCAGAGTTACAAATTTTTCATTTTACCCTACATTACAGATTTAGTGAAAGTTTGTGGCACAAGAGTGTAAGTACCAGATACAATATATATAGAGATAATGAAAAAACAGTATATACACATTGTGGGGAATCTAGAGGTTAAGAAAATGCAAACTGTACAATAGAAAAAAGTATTTTTTGTTCTTTACATGAAAATCACTTTGCACCTCGACTTGTTAGAGACTGAGTCAGACTGACATCATCAATTCACATACTTTTATAATAGGTGTAATTTTAATGTAAAAACAGAGTTGTAAATTTTACTAAAAGCATGCTACACTTTGTGTAGATACAAAAGTATAGTTAACCTTCCTACTCCAATATGAAGTTGGTCAACATTTGATCGATTTTCTTGCTCGTTAATCGATTGCATTCAAAATTGATTATTCTGATCTGAGAATTGGATAGTTGGAATAATGGAAAATAGTAATAATTGGAAACAATAATATTGATTAGTTGAACAACCTTGAATTAATCAAACGTAATAATAAGAAATCAAAATGACAATATTTCAAATACATGGTTAGTGAAAAAAAAACAATAACTGAAAATATTTATTATGATTAATTAATTTTTCTCGTGACATTTAATCAATTACTTCAAATTACACTAATTTATGTAACAGATGTTTGTTGGTGATTGATTATCTTTATTAGAGGAGTTAATCATTAAGCTCTACACGATACTAAATCCCACTAAAACAGATAAATTAGATCTCAACCTTCTTTACTGAACTGACTCAAAATGGATTTCCAATATGTACAATATGTACAATCTATATTCCATCGCTGTATGTTGCTGTCATTAGGCCTTTCACTCAGCACCAAAGTTCATAATGACGTGGTTAAAATTATCATCAACCTCAATGTAATATCACACACACATGTATGCATTAGATACCTGTTACTAAATGCCATACTCCTCCTCAAGATATTCAACACTTTAAAACTTAACTGTCTTATGAAGGACTGATATTAAAAATACTTCAATTAAAACTTTATTTGTTGTAGTCGAGCAGGTCTGGTGCCAAGAAACACATTTCAGTTACAGTGACACATAAAAACAAGATGAACTTCAAATACTACAATACATTATTCTTACCAGAAACCTGACAGGGCCAGTAAAGTATAACTTGATTTACATTATTAGCCTTATTGTGATGTGGCATCTGTTAATGTTACTGTTAATTAAAATCTTTACATTCTTGAGAAGTTACTGGATTGTTAAAATTTAAGAATAATACATTAAAAAATCAAAACTTTAAAAAGGTAGCAAGTTGTTACAGAATATCAAGTTTAAACACCAAGAGTGTTACTGTCAAAAACTGAGAACTAAAAAGCCATTACATTAAATAAAAAACAGAAACAACAACAACAACAAAATTGATAGCTTCAGTTGTCTGTATTTTCTTAACTTTGTACTGAGAACAAACTGCTTATTCTTAGAATTGATGATGGGTCCATATGGTTCCCATTGGTAATATATTTATGAACCATATTTCCTGTTGGCCCATTACTTTGTAGGTTAAAGGGTCCCTAGTAGGATACGAGTGAAACACACCAGAAAATTTTAACAAAAATATCAACAATATTGCAGTTAATCTAATTAATTACCATTGGAGTCACCGTTTATTTTACGCTGGCAATAAGTGACTTCAGTTAATTTTTTAGCCAGTTTGTAACACTGACTGTTGCAACAGGCACAAGAATAATGCTACTCAGTATGATGCAATATGTACCACCACTTGTACAGTGTGTTATAAAAAAAAAACACGTCAGTAACCTCAGGGTTAACAACAGTACATCTGCAGCCAAACTTTTAGTTTTAAAACCATGAAAATATTTACTAAAATTCAGAAAGTTTTTACTATTTCCTGTGAAACAAAAATAAATTTCAAACTTTAATATAAATCAAAACTACAAATCATTTCCTTAACATCCGAGAGGTTCATATAAATATAGAGAGATATTTCCTTCAGAAGAACATATAATGAGAGTACTATAAAATCAACTAATAATCAAATTTCACAAGTACTTTTGTAAGTGCTCGTAAGTGATCAATCAAGTCAGTGTTAAGATATTACGTAGAAAAAACTGCATGTGGCTATCATTACAATTTACAGTACCCAAACTGTGGTTTATGCTGTGTTAGCAGTGCTAACAAGCTTATTACAGACAGCTGTTTGGTACACTTGTCTTCCTGGAAGTCATAAATTTCTAAATTTGTAACTTAATATCATAAACACTTTTTTTTTCTTCAAGTTGCTGATTTCTGATACATGACGAACATGTGGTTATAGAAAGAAACTTCACACTTAAAATAACACAAATGACATTCTACACTTCCCTGCCACAGCAGAGCTTTTGTTCTTGCCAAGTGTTTTAATATGCTAATCTACACTGTAGTGTAAAGAATATATACGGGTACTTATGCAGGATGAAATAGCTTATTTCTTTATTGAAATTTTCTTTATATGGTAAGATTATGAAAAGCACAAAATTGAAGATGTAAGGAATAAGAATTTAATGTAATTATGTAACTCTTAATAAAGCTAGCATGTTAGCATGAAATACTTCAACGATTTCTAATAACTTATTTGTATTTCTTTCTAACTTTGTGAGCGTATTTTGCCCAATATATACATTATTCATATGAAACCACATTACAAATTCATTTTTCCAACTGAAAAATAACAAAAACAAAATTAACAAGCAGGTTGCTTACACTAATGCATAAAACCATTAATGCTCACTTTCTACAAGTCTGATGTTATATGCAGTTTGTATAACTAAAATTTGTTCTCTAAAGTTAAAAATTTAATATATGTACAGCATAAAATAAAATGGCATACTGTTAATCAACTGTTAATTTTACAAGTTAATAAGAAATAAAATTCATTTCAAACAGGTATTTACCTCTGAAATACCAAAAGTTTTTCCTTGCCAATTTCAAACTCGTAAAACATGTGACTCGAGATTTCAAACGTCCTTTATGCATGTGTTGCTAACCGATAATACTTCACTCTCCCACCTTCCACATGACTTCTCGAGGAAGCATAAAAAAATCTTACACAAGTTTTGCTTTTCCATTATAATCTAGATAGATTTTATTGAAAATTTGGTTTTGGGAAGGTAGGAGATAAATACCTATTTCAAGTTCATTTTAATTCTAAAAATGTTAAATTCAAATCAGGTTATCTTATTTTTCTGAAATACTGAAAAGCAGAACACCCATGCAACAAAAGTTTTGAGAACCTGGTGAACAAGAAAAATCATAAAAGTATAAACTACTAAAGTACAATGCAGGAAGATGATAATTTAGACTAATGGTTCCTAACTGTTTGTCCGTAGAGAGAGATTTCAGCCAGTCAGAAAGATGTTTGAAAAAAATTTTTTTTTTTAAATATAGCTAATGCAATATATTGTTTTACAGTGTGATTTAAAAGTACTTTAAAATTTAACATTGTATTAAGTGGTCTGTGAAATCTTGGGATCAGAACCAGTTGGTCTTCAGTTTGAAAAAACAAACAAACTGGGAGCTACTGATCTAAAGTATAAGAAATATGTAGCCAAGAAAACTGGAGTATAATCCAGAATCAGAAAATAATTTGCAGAATTGGAATCAAAGAAGAATGAGACCAGAGCTAAAGAATGCTCAGAGAGAAGGGATTGGTAATGGTGCAGAGAAATTATGGAGCCAATAATCAGATACAGGTGGCAACATCAACAGGCAGGAGGAATATTATTTCCTGCCCCTCCAGTGGAAGGTTCTTGAAGGTGCTTCATCAGGAAATGTCCTATCATCAGTAACAGTCACATCAGTGATAGTAACTTCATCAAGGGCTTCGCTGTTTCCCTTCTCAAATTCGAGTCGAGTTTCTTCTTCGACAGTGGCATTTTCAGGTGACACCTCTTCAGCAGTGTCATTTGTTCCTTTGTTCACTTCGTCCCAACTGAAATGTCCTGGACCATGATAATGCCAAAGCCTGTTGGCATGCACCACCTTTGGCTTACCTCGC